TTAAATGGTTAGCACTTCCGCCTGGCAGTACTAGGTTATCGGTTCGAATCTCAACCACGGCATCACCTGCCTGGAGTTTGCATGTTTTCCCTGCGCCTGTGTGGGTTTCATCCGGGAACTCCGGTTTCCTCCCACACTTCAAAGACATGCTGGTAGATAAATTGTCCCTAGTATGTGTATGTATGAATGTAAGTTAGGGACCTTAGATTGGGGGTTAGGGACTGATTTAAATTTACAATATATATGTGAAGCGCTGCGTAGATTGATGCTATATAAGTACCTGAAATAAATAAATGTTAACCTGTTGCCACCTACTTAACACATATGTGTGGTGGCTAAAGGGTGGGTTTTCATGCCCTCGCGGTGCATATATGCGTCACTGGGTGGCCAATGAGACAGCTCTTGGTCCCAACTAAGGATCTGTAGGCCATCATGTAACCACTGTGACAGCCAATCACAGTGGTCACATGATAGCCAAGCCTTACCACCCTCTGGGCATTTAGAACCTTTCAACCGCTTCCCTATCGCCCAAACTATTGCTACAGGGTGGCAGGGCTGCACAAAAATCACGTATATATACGCAATTTTGCATTTCCGGGTTTCCACCATTGGTGGCTAGGGATGTCAATCACCAGGTCCTGGCTGGAGATTCCCCGTCAGCACTCAGCAATCATCAGGGAAAGCAGACAGGGGAGAGACCTGTGTGTAAACAACACAGGTCTCTCTCCTGACAGCAAGGACATGCTGCTTTGTATTTCTCTGCACAACACATAATGTAAAACACACAGCACACATTTAACCCTTTGATCACCCCAGATGTTAACCCCTGCGTGCCCAGTGCCATTAGTACAGTGTCAGTGCTTTTTTTTTTTTTTTTTTTTTTTTAGCACTGATCACTGTATTGGTATCACTGAGAATATCCATGGCACCAGGTCAGTTCCCCTCCAGTGTCAGAATGCCCACCGCAGTCCCGCTATAAGTCGCTGATCACCGCCATTACTAGTATAAAAATAATTGTAAAAAAAAAATCCAGTATCTATACCGCCATTGGTAAATGCTATAACTTTCACATAAACCAATTAATTTATAAGTATTGGGATTTTTTTTTTTTTTTTTTTAGCAAAGACAGGGAGCAGAACAGTTTGGCCTAAATTTATGAGAAATTTGATTTTTTTAAAACATTTTTTATAGGATATGTTTTATAGCAAAAAGTCAACATTGGGTTTTTTTTTTCAAAATTGTCAGTTTGTTTATAGTGCAAAAAAAAATAAAAACTGCACAGGCGATCAAATACCACCGAAAGAAATCTCTATTTGTGGGAAAAAAGGACATAAATTAAAAAGAAAAAAAAAAAATCAAGGGGGAAGGAAGCTCCTCTTTTTTTTCATTTGGTGTATAAAGCTGTGGATTTGTTGATTCATTTGATGGGGGGTGTTACCATTATCATCTCAATGGGATATGTGGCTGTTTGTGGACACCTGACCATAACATATACACAATATGGCCAAATGTATTTGGACAATTCCAAATTAGTTTAGATGTTTCCCTAAAAGGGCACTCCATATTAACAGCCATGAGGGGGAGTGGGCCAACTCCATATTAACAGCCATGAGGGGGAGTGGGCCAACTCCATATTAACAGCCATGAGGGGGGAGTGGGCCAACTCCATATTAACAGCCATGAGGGGGAGTGGGCCAACTCCATATTAACAGCCATGAGGGGGAGTGGGCCAACTCCATATTAACAGCCATGAGGGGGACCTGGCCAACTCCATATTAACAGCCATGAGGGGGACCTGGCCAACTCCATATTAACAGCCATGAAGGGGAGTGGGCCAACTCCATATTAACAGCCATGAGGGGGACCGGGCCAACTCCTTATTACCAGCCATGTGGGGGAGTGGGCCAACTCCATATTAACAGCCATGCAGGGAAGTGGGCCAAATCCATATTAACAGCCATGGGAGGAGTGGGCCAACAGTGTGTGATAGCCATAGTTTTGGAACGAGATGACCAACAAGCTCATTTAGGTGTAATAAACAGATGCCCACAAAGTAAGGCCCCTTTCACACGGGCGGTTAGACTTCAGCTTTTAGCTGCAGTTAGAGGAACTTATTTACTGCAGCTAAATGCAGACAACGCATTCCTATAGCTCCATTCACACACTGCATTTAGCAATGTTTTCATAACATATGGTGTTATGCGTTTAGGAAACAAAGTTGACAGCGTCCAGGAGCGATGTACCGCAGCTGTCTGTACATAAACGCAGGTAATTGCAGTACAAAGAAAAATAAGTCAATAGCTGTTAAAGAAAAGGCAAGTATTTATTACCACAGCTAGATGCAGCCGCATGTAAACGCACGTAATCGCAGATAAACGCAATGTGCAAATGCAAGTGATTTCTGTGCCAGAAGTGTTGGAATTTAAAAATAAAAAAACATGCATTTACAAGCAGCAGAACAGCCCGTGTAAAAGAGGCTTAATATTAAGTAAAAGGAAATATAATGTACATACAAACTCATCCAATACCTACCACTAGACAATTGATAAATGCTTGTATGATAAACACTAGGGAGGAAAAGGGGGGAAGCGGTACTTTAGTCTAAGACAGTGGTCTCCAAACTGCGGCCCTTTGCTTGCCTCTATCTGGCCCTCGGGGTACTATTCTTACCACTAACACAAACAAGGAGGCACCATTTCTTCCACTGGCACCAACTATGGGGCATTTTTCCTTCCACTGACACCAATGATGGGGCATGATTCCTCCCACTGATATAAACATTTAGGTACTATTCCCCCAACTAATGCCAAGGATGGGGCACTATTCCCCCAACTAATGCCAAGGATGGGGCACTATTCCCCCAACTAATGCCAAGGATGGGGAATTATTCCTTCCTCTGACACCAATGATGGGGCACTATTCCTTCCTCTGACACCAATGATGGGACACTATTCCTCACACTGATACCAATGATTGGACACTATTCCTCCCACTGATACCAATGATGGGACACTATTCCTCCCACTGATACCAATGATGGGACACTATTCCTCCCACTGATACCAATGATGGGACACTATTCCTCCCACTGATACCAATGATGGGACACTATTCCTCCCACTGATACCAATGATGGAGCACTATTCCTCCCACTGATACCAATGATGGAGCACTATTCCTCCCACTGATACCAATGATGGAGCACTATTCCTCCCACTGATACCAATGATGGAGCACTATTCCTCCCACTGATACCAATGATGGAGCACTATTCCTCCCACTGATACCAATGATGGAGCACTATTCCTCCCACTGATACCAATGACGGAGCACTATTCCTCCCACTGATACCAATGACGGGGCACTATTCCTCCCACTGATACCAATGACGGGGCACTATTCCTCCCACTGATACCAATGACGGGGCACTATTCCTCCCACTGATACCAATGACGGGGCACTATTCCTCCCACTGATACCAATGACGGGGCACTATTCCTCCCACTGATACCAATGACGGGGCACTATTCCTCCCACTGATACCAATGACGGGGCACTATTCCTCCCACTGATACCAATGACGGGGCACTATTCCCCTCACTGATACCAATGACGGGGCACTATTCCTCCCACTGATACCAATGACGGGGCACTATTCCTCCCACTGATACCAATGACGGGGCACTATTCCTCCCACTGATACCAATGACGGGGCACTATTCCTCCCACTGATACCAATGACGGGGCACTATTCCTCCCACTGATACCAATGACGGGGCACTATTCCTCCCACTGATACCAATGACGGGGCACTATTCCTCCCACTGATACCAATGACGGGGCACTATTCCTCCCACTGATACCAATGATGGGACACTATTCCTCCCACTGATACCAATGATGGGACACTATTCCTCCCACTGATACCAATGACGGGGCACTATTCCTCCCACTGATACCAATGATGGGGCACTGTTCCTCCAACTAATACCAATGACTGGACACTATTCCTCCTTCCACTGACTACAAGCATATCATTTTTTTTACTCCTACTGAAGCTGGGACATTTTCTACTCCCACTGAACTCTCTGGCTCTCCTAAAGTCTTTAGGACAGTAAACCGGCCCTTTGTTTAGAAAGTCTGGAGACCCCTGATCTAATCTTTAGTTAAACTAAAATAATGACATAAAGACCAGTTTTCATCTTCCAAGGCAAAATATGAATACATCAATAAATGTTTATGGATCAGGTTACAATCATACGAGTTGATAGACCATAACCGCCCTTTAAAACCCCCCACATATAACCTTCCCCTATACCAGGCCACAGTGGGAGACATCCAGCCCTCCACAGCAGTCTCGTTTTTTTTACAAAGCAGAGAGGCCAGAGGTCACACCATGGTGCTCTACAGATCTCCAGAAGCAAAGCTTTAGATAACAAAGCCTTTCTATTCACTACACAGGCTTGTGCCACAAAGTTCTTAAAAAAAAAACAAAGTTCATTTTTCAATAAAATGCAGCTTAAATAAGATCAGTAAAAAAAAAACAAAAAACCTTCAGTTTATGCAAGACTGATGGGCATCAGATAGCAGGACTTGATGAGATAGGACACAATGAGGAGACGGACACAGTGCAGTTTTCTGTGCGGTTTCCGTGCTTGCAAACCAAATTTTGTGGCGTCCGTACACGCTGTTTCACTTCAATACCAGGCACTTTCACCCCCTTCCTGCCCCAGGCAGGCCAATTTTCAGGACTGTCACACTCTGAATGACAATTGCGTGGTCATGCAACACTGTACCCATATGAAATTTGTATCACATTTTTTAGACAGATGAAGCTTTCTTTTGGTGGTATTTAATCACTACTGGGTTTTTTTTTTTTTTCGCTAAACGAACGTAAAAAGACCAAACATTTTGAAAAAAAAATGAAAAAAAAGTTTTCTTAGTTTTCTATTACAAAATTTTGCAAGTAAGTCATTTTTATTCTTCCCTGATGAGGCTGCATTGATGGACACTGATAAGGTGACATTGATTGACGCTGATGGGGCTGCATTGATAATCAGGGAACTGAATCAGTGTTTCTCAGCCTTTTTTCGGTCAAGGCACCCTTGAAAATTATGGACAGTCCCGAGGCGCCCTTCAAAATTATGGACAGTCCCGAGGCGCCCTTCAAAATTATGGACAGTCCCGAGGCGCCCTTCAAAATTATGGACAGTCCCGAGGCGCCCTGCAAAATTATGGACATCCCCGAGGCGCCCTTCAAAATTATGGACAGTCCCAAGGCGCCCTTCAAAATTATGGACAGTCCCGAGGCGCCCTGCAAAATTATGGACATCCCCGAGGCGCCCTTCAAAATTATGGACAGTCCCGAGGCGCCCTTCAAAATTATGGACAGTCCCGAGGCGCCCTTCAAAATTATGGACAGTCCCGAGGCGCCCTTCAAAATTATGGACAGTCCCGAGGCGCCCTTCAAAATTATGGACAGTCCCGAGGCGCCCTTCAAAATTATGGACAGTCCCGAGGCGCCCTTCAAAATTATGGACAGTCCCGAGGAGCCCTTCAAAATTATGGACAGTCCCGAGGCGCCCTTCAAAATTATGGACAGTCCCGAGGCGCCCTTCAAAATTATGGACAGTCCCGAGGCTCCCTTTAAAATTATGGACATTCCCGAGGAGTCCTTCAAAATTATGGACATCCCCGAGGCGCCCTTCAAAATTATGGACAGTCCCGAGGCGCCATTCAAAATTATGGACAGTCCCGAGGCGCCCTTCAAAATTATGGACAATCTTGAGGCACCCTTCAAAATTATGGACAGTCCCGAGGCACCCTTCAAAATTATGGACAGTCCCGAGGCACCCTTCAAAATTATGGACAGTCCCGAGGCACCCTTCAAAATTATGGACAGTCCCGAGGCGCCCTTTAAAATTATGGACAGTCCCGAGGCGCCCTTCAAAATTATGGACAGTCCCGAGGCACCCTTCAAAATTATGGACAGTCCTGAGGCTCCCTTTAAAATTATGGACAGTTGTGAGGTGCAGTTTAGAATTATGGACAGTCCCGAGGCTCCCTTTAAAATTATGGACAATCTTGAGGCACCCTTCAAAATTATGGACAGTCCTGAGGGTCCCTTTAAAATTATGGACAGTCCTGAGGCTCCCTTTAAAATTATGGACAGTCCTGAGGCGCCGTTTAGAATTATGGACAGTCCCGAGGCTCCCTTTAAAATTATGGACAATCTTGAGGCACCCTTCAAAATTATGGACAGTCCTGAGGGTCCCTTTAAAATTATGGACAGTCCTGAGGCTCCCTTTAAAATTATGGACAGTCCTGAGGCTCCCTTCATAATTTTGAAGGGTGCCTCAAGATTGTCCATAATTTTAAAAGGGAGCCTCAGGACTGTCCAAAATTTTGAAGGGTGCCTCGGGATTGTCCATAATTTTGAAGGGTGCCTCAAGATTGTCCATAATTTTAGACAATCCCGAGGCGCCCTTCAAAATTATGGACAGTCCTGAGGTGCAGTTTAGAATTATGGACAGTCCCAAGGCTCCCTTTAAAATTATGGACAATCTTGAAGCACCCTTCAAAATTATGGACAGTCCTGAGGCTCCCTTTAAAATTATGGACAGTCTAAAGGCACCCTTCAAAATTATGGACAGTCCCGAGGCTCCCTTTAAAATTATGGACAATCTAAAGGCACCCTTCAAAATTATGGACAGTCCCGAGGCTCCCTTTAAAATTATGGACAGTCCTGAGGCGCTGTTTAGAATTATGGACAGTCCTGAGGCTCCCTTTAAAATTATGGACAGCCTTGAGGCAACCCATTCTAAAATGTGCAAAACTATTCTAATAGTTTATATAATGCAGCAACATCCACACATTTAGGACACCCAACATTAGAGGGGATTTATTCTTCCAACGCAAATACATGTTTGCACTCTGGTACTGACTAGTATTCCCATGTTTCTCTTCACCCTCACTGAGCTAATGTGACCCCAGCACTGATGGAGAGGGGCAGGGGAGGGTCAAACTAGGATGCTGTGAAGGCAGCTGACATCCCCCTCATCAACTGACGATGTCATTGGTTGTCAGGATGCCGGTGGCTAGAAGGTTGTAATGGTGCACAATGAAAACCTGTGGCTTTGTGTAACTAAAAAGGCAGGCTTGTTCCACCCGCTGGCTTTTATACAAGTTTGCGGCAATTTTTAGACATTTTGCCAAGGCACCCTGGTTGAGAAAGGCTGATCCAGATTATCAGTGTAAACTGTTTACTGACAAGTCTTGCCAGTAATCAGCTTTCCTTTCCTCACAGTCACAGCGTGTGAAAATCTTCTGAAAACCGGCAAGTTTGTTTACATGTGATCAGCTATGATTGGATACAGCGGATCACAAGGTAAAGGCCGCTGTGATTGGCCCTTAACCGCTATCTGTGATGAGCTGTGTCCAAAAGACACAGCCGTCACAGAGTGCGCCCCGGGGCAGGGTTCTGGGAGGACATCTATAGACACCCTCTCAGAACTAGATGACTATGCTGTAGCTGTCTTTTGGTGGTCAGATAATGTTTTAAAAGGACACATAAGGTTGATACTTTGAAAAAATACTATACAAATGTTTTTTATTATACGATGACAAATGGACAAAAACATGAAAATGCACGTTTGGCTATTTTACACACACACGTTTTTTTTTTTAAATTCACCTAAACTTAGAACAGGGGTGGGCAACTGTGGCCCTCCAACTGTTGCGGAACTACAAGTCCCACCACTCTTATGCCTCTGGGAGTCATGATTTAAACTGTCAGTCTTGCCCTGCTTCATGGGACATGCAGTTCAACAGCAGCTAGAGGGTCGCAGTTGCCCACCCCTGACTTGGAAATAAAAACACATATATGCGCTATAACATGCTTTTACAGCAATCCTAAAATTCAATCCAGAGCTTACCCTCTACAGAAAGAAGCTCGGCCTCTAAATGCTGCTCCTTCTCCCAAACTGAATGACGGCCGGCATCATTCGAGTCGCTTCCTGTGAGCCCAAGCTGTCATGGTCACACCCCCTGATGCTGCGTCACCACTGGGCTCACAGTTCTGCTGCATGGAACAACACGAAAAACCGCATTACATGAGCGCCAATCTGTACATGAATAAAGACCACCCACCATCGCTGCTGAACAAGAAAAGGAAAGTTGAGTGATGTCAAAGGGCTGGTTAGAAGACGACTGGAACTAATGTATAAGGCTTCATTTAGACATGCGCCAACCCCCCCCCCCCCAAAGCTGCAATAGGCAGTGGATGGCGGTGTTTACATTGCACGGTCCTGCTGCTTTGCTCCGCGCCCATGGCAAAGTTTTCATCACATGCGGTATTGCCCAGCTGCTGATCGCTACACATTCAAGCAAACGAGGAAGCGCCACAACCATAGGCAATGTATGCGGGTGTAGCGTGGAAAAGTGGAGGCATCGCAGCGCTACAGTAGCGAGGAAAGGAAGATTTAGACGAACATCTAAATCTACCCTAATAGAAATTTTGTACTCACCATAAAATCCTTTTCTTGGAGTCCGTCGAGGAACACAGGAAGTTGTCAATCTTCAGGTTATACTGCCACCCTACAGGAGGACTGGCAAATAACACGTTAGACCAGCGCAGGATAACACCTTCTACTACCAGCATGCCTCAGATTTATAGCAAATCTGTAATCAGGGAATTATCATAGACTAAGGATTGTGCGCCTCAATGGACTCCAAGAAAAGGATTCTCCAAGACAAGGAATCAGACGAAATTTGAGCTGTGGGTGGATCTTCATGCCCCACCAGGTTTGACAGAAGTCTAACATTGCGGGGCTGGCTGGAAAACGATCCGCTGAACAGTGCAGGCGTACCTCGGTTTACGAATTTAATTCGCTCTGCGGGACTTTTTTCGTATTGTGAAAAATTTGTAAATCGAAACGCAGTTTCCCATAGGAATGCATTGAAAACCGTTGGTCAGAAAAAAGTTAAAAAAAGTGTTTTTTCTGTTCAAAACATAGACCAGCTCTGGACATGAGGACAGCAGGAATAGTCCACCGCTGGACGTAAGGGAGCACTGTTTTCTGGGGGATCAAAGGAGTATAGTCATTACTGTGCACCCCTGGACAAAATAAATGGTTGACCCATGCAGTGCTGGCACAGCCCAAAACTTTTTCCTGTAGGTATGCTTTACCATGTAAATGATGTCCCTAGAATTATACCTTTCAGTCTGGTGTGCAGTGATACCTAAAGTGTTGTGCTGTCAGAATTCACATAAGTGCACGCTTCCTAGGTACATGTTTTTGACGTACAGGCGTACCTAGGTTTACGAATTTAATTCGTTCTGCGGGACTTTTCGTACTGCAAAAAAATTGTAAACCCAAATGCGGTTTCCCATAGGAATACATTGAAAACCAATTAATCCGTTCCGGAGGTCAGAAAAAAACTTTTTAAAAAATTATTTTATCTGTTCAAAACTCTTTATAAAGTGCATTTTAAAGGCATAAATACTGTACAGGGACATGATTAAAAATGAATTTGTAAATGCATTGAAAACCGATTTATCCGTTCGTATTGCGAAAAGAATTCGTAAATGCATTGAAAACCAATTCATCCGTTCGTATTGCGAAAAGAATTCGTAAATGCATTGAAAACCAATTCATCCGTTCCAGAGGTCAAAAAAAAAAAAAAAGTATTTTATCTGTTCAAAACTCTTTATGCACTTTAAAAGGCATAAATACTGTACAGGGACTTGATTCAAAATAAATTTGGAAATGCATTGAAAACCAATTATTCTGTTCCAGAGGTCAGAAAAAAAGTAAAAAAAGGTTTATCTGTTCAAAACTCTATAAGAAGTGCACTTTAAATGCATAAAGGGACATGGTAAAAAAAAAAAAAAAATGTCGTAAATGCATTGAAAACCAATTAATCTGTTTCAGAGGTCAGAAAAAGTCTTCTGTTCAAAACTCTTTATAAAAGTGCACTTTAAAAGGCATAATACTGTACAGGGACATGATTTAAAAAAAAATTGGTAAATGCATTGAAAACTAATAAATCTGTTCGTATTGCAAAAAAAATTTGTAAACCGAGGCATTATTTTCAATGGATTTTCATTCGTAAACCGAAAATTACGTTAAGCGAGGCGTTCGTAAACCGAGGTACGCCTGTACGTCCTGCATCAGATGCAATGTTCAGCAACGCCATTATAGAGTGAAGGAAATAAGTATTTGATTCCCTGCGGATTTTGAATGTTTGCCCACTCACAAAGAAATGATCGGTCTAAAAATCGAATGGTAGGTGTATTGTAACACTGAGAGACAGAATAGCAACAAAAAATTCAGCAGAAATGCATGTCTAACAAATGATGCACTTATTTGCATGTTCATGAGGGAAATAAGTATTTGATCCCCTTCACCAAACATGACTTAGTACTTGGTGGCAAATCCCTTGACGGCAATCACAGAGGTCAGACGTTTCCTGTAGTTGGCCACCAGGTTTGTACACATCTCTGGAGGGATTCTGGCCCACTCCTCTTGGCAGATCCTCTCCAAGTTGTTAAGGTTTGGTGGCTGATGTTTGGCAATTCGAACTTTCAGCTCCCTCCACAGATTTTCAATCGGATTAAGGTCTGGAGACTGGCTAGGCCACTCCAGGACCTTAATGTGCTTCTTCTTGAGCCACTCCTTTGTTGCCTTGGCCATGTGTTTTGGGTCATTGTCATGCTGGAACACCCATCCATGACTCATTTTCAATACCCTGGCTGAGGGAAGAAGGTTCTCACCCAAGATTTGATGGTACATTGCCCCGTCCATCGTCCATTTGATGCGGTGCAGTTGTCCTGTCCCCTTAGCAGAAATACACCCCCAAAGCAGAATGTTTCCACCACCATGTTTGACAGTTGGGATGGTGTTCTTACCCCAAAAACATAGGCAGCATTCCTCCTCCTCCTCCAAACACGGCGAGTTGAGTTGATGCCAAAGAGCTCGATTTTGGTCTCATCAGACCACAACACTTTCAACCAGTCCTCCTCTGCATCATTCAGATGCTCAGTGGCAAACTTCAGACAGGCCTGGACATGTGCTTTCTTGAGCAGAGGGACCTTGCGGGCACTGCAGGATTTCAGTCCTTGTCGGCGTAGGGTGTTACCGATTGTTTTCTTGGTGACTGTGGTCCCAGCTGCCTGGAGATCATTGACAAGATCCTCACGTGTAGTTCTGGGATGAGTCCTCACTGTTCTCATGATCATTGACACTCCACGAGGTGAGATCTTGCATGGTGCACCACACCTAGGGAGACTGACAGTTGTTTTGTGTTTCTTCCATTTGCGAATGATTGCACCAATTGTTGTCACCTTCTCACCAAGCTGCTTGGCGATAGTTTGGTAGCCCAGTCCAGCCTTGTGTAGGTCTACAATCTTGTCCCTGACATCCTTGGACAGCTCTTTTGGTCTTTGCCATGGTGGAGAGTTTGGAATCTGATGTTTGATTGCTTCTATGGACATTTGACTTTTATACAGGTAACAAAATGAGATTAGCAGCACTCCCTTTAAGAGACTGCTTCTAATCTCAGCTTGTTACCTGTATGAAAGACACCTGGTAGCCAGAAATCCTGCTGAGTGATAGGGGATCAAATACTTATTTCCCTCATGAACATGCAGATCAGTGCATCATTTGTTAGACATGCATTTCTTTTGAATTTGTTGTTGCTATTCTGTCTCTCAGTGTTACAATACACCTACCATTCGATTTTTAGACTGATCATTTCTTTGTGAGTGGGCATACATTCAAAATCAGCAGGGGATCAAATACTTATTTCCTTCACTGTAATATTTGGCTATGGATTTGGTTGGTGGACGGCTTACCCACCAACAGAATGGATGCGGGAATCAACTGGTTCTCTTAATCAGCTTGCAGGCTGGGCTCCAATTTTTTTTGTTTGACAGTGACCAAACCTCCTGCAAGCAGCAGTATAACCCTAAAGCAAGCCAAAGATGATGCAATTTTCTTTCCTGAGTCCACAGAGTTGTAGTAAAGAAAACCGCTTGATTGCCCCACCAAACACAGTTACTGCTGATTGGGGAATCCCTCCCACAGCGCTATTGTGTTCTGACGGCAGGGAACCTTCCTTACCGGCAGTCCACAATGATTACTGCTTATGACTATAGCCGACAGCGATAATCGCATTCAAAAAAATCCAACAGGCTGGTTGTACGGAAGTCAAACAATGGATCGATTTTAGTACAACTAGCCTGCCTATAGATGGATCAAATCTCGGCTGGTCTCTGCTGAACCAGTCAAGATTTGATCCATCTATGGCCGGCTTAAGGTTATAGACTTCCTAGGGGTTATTTACTAAAACTGGAGTGCACAATCTGGTGCAGCTCTGAATAGAAGCCAATCAGCTTTCAGGTTTTATTGTCAAGGCTTGAAGTGTTACTAAACCCACAACAGTAAAATCAGTCTGTGTATGCAGTAAAGCATACTTGTTATACTCACTGTGGAACCTAAGGGGTTAATCGTCTGCATTGTGCCGTTTGATCCGGTCTTCTCTGCCCCTTCTCTTGTTGAAATGCCCACATCTCATTTTCTGATAAGGCAGACTGAACCCGTAGCCATATGCACATGATCAGTTTGGTGTGTATTGCCAGAGAGGTGTTTTTTTTTTTTCCTTGGGAGAGTGCATGTGATCAACACAGGGCTTATCAGCACTGTCCAGACAGAGGTCAGGGGTCCTGCATCCCCTTAGAGCAGAAAGAAAACTCCTTCAAGCTTTAACCAGTGCTCTGCTGAACACTGACAGAAGTCACAAGACTGCTCTCTACTGCTGATGAGAAAAGGTATATAGCAGCTTATATTTACTAAAATAATGGCACTTCCATGTTGTGTGTACTGTGGGAGACCAGATATAGTGAATGCGGGGTCCGGGGTTTAGTAACACTTTAAATGAATAAGCTGGAGTTAGAAGCGGATTGGCTACCATGCACAGATTTAGTAAATCTCTGCCCCCCAATCCGTGCCTCTCACTGGTTGAGAAAGGAAAAAAAAAAATTTTTCTTGTAAATTTGTGCAATGGAAACTTGGTGGCTGGTAGTCAGAAAACCTGCTGTTGGGCTGTAATTAAACTTAAAGTGGAGTTCCACTCAGTCAAAAAATAAAAGTCAAAAACTGTAGCTGCTGACTTTAAAAAACAGCCACTTACCTGTCCCTCGGTCCCGTGGTCCCTCCCCCCCGCAGCTCGTTTCACCAGCCGTCCTGTATTCCAGGAGGCCGGCATCTTTAGTGTGGGCACTTGGTTGTGACAGCTTGCGGCTTCACAGCCGGGTACCCACTGTGCACAGCGCGAGTAGCGCTGCGCTTCGTGAATGGTCCTGTAGTCTTCTAGGACCTGTCACATGTTCCAAAAGACTACAGGGAGGGAGGAAGGGAGGACACCTTCCGCTTCCGATCACCTAGGCAATTGGACTGGAAGTGGGAGCGGGTACCTGTCAAATTTGGGTACCAGCTCCTCCCCGCCCCCCAAAGGTGCCAATCCTTAATGGGGAGCAGTCCTTAAAGCAGAACTTCCCCTTTTGGGTGGAGCTCTGCTTTAAAGTGGTTGTAAACCCTTATATACACCCAGTAAAATGACTGGCTTCGGGTGATATATGGAGGTAAAACAAATCCACCTACATAAGTAGTACCTGCTTATCTGTAGTCTTCTCTTTTCTATATCTGCTAAAAGTTCTATATTTACAAAGCTTGTCTGAGATTTCAGAAAAAAAGGGGGTGGAGAGCTGAAATGTCACTATGTAGAGCTCAGTGAGGAGAGCTCTGAGAGCTGATTGGAGGAAAGGGACACCCACGAGTGCCTCCCCTCTTCCCCTTCACATAGCTCACAGGAACAGAGGTGAGGCTGTCAATCTGTTGGAGGTTCTTCCCTGTCACCATTTTTCTCTTGGTGTCAGGAAAACTTGTCAGAAGTGAATTATGCCGATAGCAGTCAGAAATGACACTTAGTACTCTGAATTGTACAAGTGCACATAATAGAGGGATATGCTTTGTTCATATTTCATGTCTTGAGGTTTACAACCACTTTAACTCAAAATGTCATATTTTCAAACACTGTACCCCTTTCTTGGTGCACGGAGAGAGAGAGAGACAGTGCGATCTGGTGGCTGGAGAACTGTATTTTCTAAACAAAGGTCCAGCCTGCATGTGATTACCTTGGTTGGCTGTTTTGGAGATAGCCAAAGCATATCTGGATTGCAATGTTAGAATATTGAAGTTCTAAGACACGAGCCAAGCGCAATCACTGCATGGAAGTCACGACACAAGCACAGTGCTCAGAAACCAGCACAGAAAAAGGCAGAATGTACACCTTCCACAAAGTCAGCCAACTATACACACGGTCAGCTGTGTTCCACCAAATCACCAGACAATTCTTCCTCGGCCCCCTGACTGGTGGGAGATTCGGCACGTGTGTCTTCTCCCTGATAAATGTTCCTCCAGAAAGAGTCCATTTTGCCCAGGTGGATCCTCTGGTGTCGCACAAGGGTGGAATGCTGGGTGAAGCTCTTGCCACACTGGTCACAGGCGTACGGTCGGTAGCCAGTGTGGATCTGCTGGTGGGCCTTCAGGTTGGAGATCTTGCTGAATCCCTTATGGCAGACATCACAGGTGTACGGTTTTTTCCCCGCTGTGGATCTTCTGGTGCCCCGTGAGGTGGGAGTGCTCACTAAAAGACTTGCCGCACTCGGCGCACTTGTACGGCCGCTCCCCGGTGTGCGTGCGAACGTGATTGCTCAGGTGCCCCTTCTGGCTGAAGGTCTTCTCACACTGCGAACACTTGTACGGGCGGGCGCCAGAGTGCTTGCGGCGGTGGCGCACCAAGCTCGAGTGCTGGCTAAAGCAGATGTCACACTCAGGGCACTTGTAAGGCTTCTCCCCGGTGTGAATACGTTGGTGGACGATGAGGTTGGAGTTCTCACTGAAACTTTTTTCGCAGATGTCGCACTTGTAGCGCTTCTCTCCCGAGTGGACCCTCAGGTGGACTGTGAGGTGGGAGTTCTCACTGAAGGCTTTGTTGCACTCTGGGCATTTAAAGGGCGCTCCCCAGTGTGAATTCTTCTGTGGGCCTTCAGGTGAGAGTTTCTTGTGAAACCTTTCCCACACTCACTGCAGCGGTATCGCTTCTCGCCCATCAACATAAGCCGCTGCTTGTTGTTTGTGCTGTAGTTGTCGTAGAAGCCTCGTTCATACTCGCTCCGGGTTGGCTTTTGGTAGTCCTTCATGAGGAGTATGGGGTGAGTGAAGCTATTCAGGTACTTCTCTAGTTCCAGAGAGTTTCTCCAGCGCGTATTCCTGGGTCAGGGCCCGGTTAAGGGTCATGCCGGCATTAGGAAACAGCAACATGCCATCTTCCCCAATGGATGGGATTTCTGGTCTGTGATTGCTTTCCGAACCTGCAGAGTACAAAAGCACAGTTACTGACCAAACATACCTGGGAGCCATCCATCCTCTGGAGGGACAGAATGGTTTTTGAAATACACCAAACACTTTCTATGCTACATATCCTATGGAGAAATGGGGCCTTAAAGATAACCTGTGCTTTGCCCACACAGGACAAAGCAACAGGTTGAGGTTGCCCTTTAAAACGGTGGTGGTCAACTTGACAATTATAGAGGACTTCAAGTGGAACCCCCATTTCCAAGGGGCTGCACAGTAACCGTGTATTTCCATGCACTCCTCAGATTAGACAGCCCGTTTAACTGCTTCCCGACCACCCTATAGCAGAATTACTGCTACAGGGTGGCAGGGCTGTGCAAAATCACGTATATATACGCGATTTTGTCTTTCCGGCTAGGAGGCACCCTACCTGCTCCGCCATTGGCAGCTACAGCTCTCGATCACCGGATCCCGGCCGGAGAATCCCTGCCGCCACCCGGCGACCGATGAGGAACACTGACAAGGGAGAGGTCTGCATGTAAACAATACAGATCTCTCCCCTGTCCACACCAGCAAGCTGCTTTGTATTGCTCTGCATAGCAGAGCAATACAAAGCAGCATGCTTATACAGTACAACACACACAGCACACATTTAACCCTTTGATTGCCCCAGATGTTAACCCCTTCCTGCCCAGTGCCATTAGTAAAGTGTCATTGCTTTTTATTAGCACTGATTAGTGTATTAGTGTCACTAGGGATGTCAGTGGCAGTCAGTCCCCCCCCCCCCCACCAGTGTCAGAATGCTGCTGCAGTCCCGCTATAAGTCGCTGATCACAGCCATTACTAGCATATAAAAAAAATTCTAGTATATATACACCACTATTTGTAGACGCTATAACCTTCATGTAAACCAATTAATTTACACGTATTGGGATTTTTTTTTAGCAAAAACATGTCGCAGAATAAAATTTTGGCCAAAATTTATGACAAAATTTTATTTTTATTTTTTTTTACTGGGCATTTTTTTATAGCAAAAAGTCAAAAATATTGTTTTTTTTTTTTTTTCCAAAACTGTTAGTCTTTTTTTTTTTTAATAGAGCCGACAGTCGGTTCTCTTATAACAGCAATCGGAGCAGCTAACTAGCTACTCCGATTGCTATTACAAGCAGCAGGAGGGGACGCCCCCCACTCAGGCAGCCTTAACAGGATCTCCCGCCCCAGGAGTCCCAATCGACTAGCTGGTACTACTGTCGGTTGGTCATGGAGCCGAACAAAGACAGGATCAGCTTTGTTCTGCTCTCTTAAATAGTAACCTAGAAACAATCACCTGACATCCCTTCGATCATGGTGTGATTGAATGCTTTTAAGGGCAGAGGAGGGATTTGGGGTCTTAATAACCTCGGATCCCTCCAGCAATTCTAGCACCAGATGACCTCGGTAAATCTAAAGTGGTAACCTGTAAAGGCTTTTAAAGCGTCGTCAATGGATAGTAAAATGTATGTCATTTGTCACAGTTGCGTGACATGTTTGGTATCTATTTACTCAACATAACAATCTTTTATATTTTACAAACAAATTGGCTATGTATTTTGTTTTTTTTTGCATTAAAATTGAACATATAAAATTGCAAAACCCATTCATTTATTCTCTAGAGCCTCTGCTTTAAAAAAAAAAAAATTACACACACACACACACACAGTGGTGAAGGAAAGAAGTATTTGATCCCCTGCTGATTTTGAATGTTCTCCCACTCACAAAGAAATGATCAGTCTAAAAATCGAATGGTAGGTGTATTATAACACAGAGACAGAATAGCAATACAAAAATTCAAAAGAAATGCATGTCTAACAAATGATGACTGATCTGCATGTTCATGAGGAAAATAAGTACTTGATCCCCTTCACAAAACATGACTTAGTACTTGTTGGCAAATCCCTTGTTGGCAATCACAGAGGGCAGACGTTTCTTATAATTGACCACCAGGTTTGCACACATCTCAGGAGGGATTTTGGCCCACTCCTCTTGGCAGATCCTCGCCAAGTCATTAAGGTTTGGTGGCTGACGTTTGGCAAATTGAACTTTCA